TGAGATCAGGTGATGCTTATACATTTACAGGGCTCTGAAAAAGTATTTCCCCCTTCAGAATTTCTTACTTTTTTCCTTTGTTTTTCACACTTATTTGTTGATCTGATGTTTTAGATCATGAAAGTAAAATATAAGACAAAGATATCCTGAGCAAATGCAACATTTTTCTTTCCAAATCTATTTGACCCTATGCAAAAAATTAATTCCTCCAAGACCTAATAAACTGGTTGTGCTACCACTGGCAGGAAGAAATGCAATCAAATGTTTGTGATAATTGGAAATTGTTTTAATTCAGCGACACTGGAGGGTTTTCCAGCATGAATGGGCTGTTTAATGTCACACCAAAGCATATCAATCATACTAAACTTAGACTAAGCCAAAACATTTTTTTTAATTGCTGGACTTGCTGTTGTGTTTCAGATCATTATCCAGCTGCTTAACCCAAGTGAGCCTGAGGCCCAGGGCACATACTCATGGTAGGAGATTCTCCTTCAAGATTTTCTGGTAGAGAGCAGAATTGCAGCAAGTCATCCAGACCCTGAAGAAGCAAAGCAACCCCAGACCATCACACTACCACCAACATATTTTTCGTGCCAGCTGTAACAGGACTCAGACCTTCTAAAAGGTTCAGCTTTTGTCTCATCAGTCCACAGAATGTTTTCCTATAGGTCTTGATGTCTTCTGGCAAATGTGAGATCAACCTTTGTGTTCTGTTTGTTCAGCAGTGATTTTAGTCTTCGGCTTTTGTCCAGCCTCTTTTTTATAGTTTAATCATAAACTCTGACCTTAATTGAGGCAAGTGACATCTGCATCTCTTCAGATGTTGTTCTGGGTATGCTGTTGATGCTCAGTAATTTTGGCTGGCCACTCTTGGAAAGATTCACTACTATTCACCACTTGAGTAACAAAGTCTTAGCAATGGTCTGTAATCCTTTAAATGTCAGTGACTTTGATTCTTAAATGCTCTTGAACGACTTTAGATAGTGGTGTGATGTGTTGCATTTTCTGAGATTTTTTAAGCCTATGTCAGAGGTTCTATTTGAGTGATTTCTTAATTCAATGGGCCTGGGTCATCTTTGTCCAATACTAAAATTTGTTTGGTGATCTGAAACATTTCAGTGCAATAAAGTAGAAGGAAAAAAAACATGAAGGGGGCAAATACTTTTCAACAACACTGCAGCTAATTGATTATATCTGCACCTGATCTCATTTCTGTAACACAGTGCTCATCACTGTAGATAACATGCAGACGTGTATTGGATGACAGCTATAAAAAAAAAAGGACTTCAACGACTTGCAGGTTTGATATTTGAAATGCTTTAATGACTCAACTGACTTTGTTTTATTACAGGAGACAATTAGTCAGAATACAGCTGGAACTTCTGCACTAAGTATAGTCTTAAGGATTGTTTGGACAGAGGTTTAACAAGCCACAGAAAGAATGTACAACATGGCACACAGCAGTAAACATAAGGCAGTCAACTTCTTTGACAGCAAAAAGAGCGTCACAGAACAGATCATCAAGCTTACAGAGCAAAGTTATGCAACAGCTTGTCAAAATGTTCACTATTCTCTAAAGGCGATGCTTCTGAAGATAATGTAA